TCGCTGCTCTCTCGCCGCCTCCCTCTCGTTCTGTTTTCCCGACTAGCAAGGCTGCTAGCGACGTTTCTACGACCGGACTTCGAGGGCTGCCGGGAAACCAACAAAGCGTGACTGTTGCTACCTCGCTGCTGTGACTCCGACGAACGGACGAGACCGACGCAGCCGCCTCCCTCCATCCTTATTCCTCTTTTGTTCGCCGGTACCCTGCCGCCAAGAGGCCGCCGTCGTGGTTCCTGCCGTGCCATTGAAGACCCAGCCGAGTCCAGCTCCGCCATAGCCGACTGATAGCCCCGCTCTCTCTCTCTCTCTCTCTCTCTCTCTCTCTCTCTCTCTCCTTCCCTCCTTCGTTCTACCGCCGATGTTGTTGCCCGTTTCTTGTGCTGCTGCTGTTGCAACCCACCTCAGTGGGTGTTTGGTTCATTTTCCGGGCATATGGATGTATGTTCATGTATTGTGATGGGACAAGGCCGCCGAAGTGTCCCTTGGCCGGAGATCCGAAGAACAAAACCCCACCGCTGCCACCGTGTATAGCCGTCTGCCGCCACAAGGTGGCTATGTGTGTGTGTTATTTTATGAGTGTATGTGGGTTATTGGATGTTATTGTAAAATTGTACTGTAATAGAATAGGAATAATGAAAAGAAAAGCTCAAACCACCACCGTAGGGTGGTGCCTGCCGCCACTGGCCGCCGTGTAGGGTGGCGGTGTGCCTTGTTTGGTTTGTGACTCGTTTGGATGTTTGGACAAGGGACTACTAAACCCTAATGGGCCAAAAAGAAAACCCTAGTGGGCCCAATGAGAGCTTAATGGGCCCAATGAAGTCATAATGGACCTAAAAGCCCAACAAATTGATAAATGGGCTAGTAATTGGGTTGGAAACCCTAATTAGGGTTTGGAAAACCCTAATGCCAATAAAACCCTAATTTTGAGAATTAATCGAGACACACACACGGGAATTATTTAATAGTTTGAAATATTAAATAATAATCATTGGCAAAGATTAATCTAAGCAATGTTGGACTTAGTGGATTAAGTCCTTAATGGATTAAGCCCTAATGGGTTAAGTAAGAAACACTTAACCCTAATCGTCATTTCATGTGGAAACCCTAATTCCACTTGGGCCTTGAGTTGGGCCTTCCTTTTTTTGGGTTTTGGTGATTGGACTATTAATGGGCTTTTCAAGAATAAGTAAATGGACTAAATAATTGTATGGGTTTTAGGATAAGGCCCATGTGAGAGTCTTGGGCCCAATTTGGAAAATTGGGCCATAGATGGGCCATAACTGGGCCTTTATGATTATGTGATATCAGGTCATGGGAATACAAATAGTTTGGACTAGAATACTTGAACGGGCCTTAAGTAAAGACCATGTAGAGGTCTGGGCCCAATTTGGAAAATTGGGCCATATGTTGGGCTTTGGCCCATTGGTAGACTATTGGGCCTTTGGAGTGTGAGTTGGACCTTGGGCTTGGAACCCAATTATTAATTGGGTGTTGTTTGATGTTGACAGCTGGGGAATCTGTTAACCAGCAGCTGGAGTTTTGTCTGCGGGACTTCAGCAGTGCGCCAGGTGAGTTATCTTCACTCTACTAAGGGGTCTAAGGCACCAAGGCCGGCCCATTGAATATGTTAGCATTGTTATATGTTGAGCATAAGTTAGTATTGCATGATAGTGATGTATGCTAGTGATATGCTAGTGTGGTAGGTTTGTAGGACTACCTGTGATACTGTCTGATTTCCTGTATGTGCATTTATCTGTTACATGTCGACATGTTATGTGGGATGGGTTGAGGTTGTACTGCTCCGTGCGGTAGCCAACAGACCCTAGGAGCATTCCAGTTACGGGCTAAGGGAGACTCGTACTGTGGGCTCGGGAGCATTCCAGTTACGGGCTAAGGGAGACTCGTACTGTGGGCTCGTGGGTGTTACAATCTGAAGGGCTGTAAACCCGTTATGTGTTGTTCTGTTCAGTTTGTTATGATATGATTATGTGGACTGTATGTATATCGGTATTTTGGGGGTAACTCACTAAGCTTTCAGGCTTACAATTTCAGTTTATGGTTTCAGGTGCATCAGGGGATCGTAGCAAGGCAAAGGCGTGATCGTACAGCTCCTCACTTTTTATGACTTTGTTTCTGGGATACTCTGATATTAAACTATTTTGAAAACATTTTTGTAATGACTAATGGGTTTTGAATTGTTTTAAAAGTTTTAAATTGGCTTAAAATTTTTGGGTCTTATACGTTAAGTTTGTCCGTTAACCGCAGGGTATTTTCGTCATTTCACCACCACAGGGACCATTTATGATGTTTTCTCGTATTTTTTTAAAAAAAGAAAAAATTAAACATAATTAAATATATAAAACGTCTCTCTCTCTCTCTATACCTGCAAATCAAAATCTCACAAAAGATAAAAACACATATACAGGCACAAATGAAAAAAACCCATTTGAAACTCTCGTTGAAGGCGACATAGAGCTGAGATCTGAAGAGATCTTTTGTTCAGTTTCAATCAAAGACAAACACACGCCTCTGGTGCTGGTTTGATTCGGGGAAGGAGAAATCGGAAGCAGAAATCGATGGAGGGTGGTGGCAATCGATAGTAAAGGAAGGAGCACCTCCGTTTCTTTTCTAATTCGAAGAAAGGAGAAGGAGAACGAAATCAGAAAAAAAAACACGTAGGCATCAAAGATTTTTGGTCATGTGTTTGATTTTTTTAGTAAGGAACGAGCACCTCCGGTGCCCTCACTAGTTCATAGAGGGAGGAAGAAACGAAAGCATCAATGGCTACTGAAGCAGTTCCTGCACTTTTTGTCTCGGAAAGAAATATAAAGAGGAAGGGAGAGAGGGTACGATGGAAGCAGGGCAACAACAACAGTACAGGTGGGTGTTTGGCTGCTATGGAGTCAGCGAAAGAAGAAGAGAAGGTGCGAGGGGGATGTTGCCCTCTTGTCTGCCGGAAAAACTCCACCTCTGGAGGGGGTTTCTTTGATTGAAATTGAATAGAAAAAATGAAAGAACAAGGGCTGAACTGGACAGTGAATTTTGGGGGTGTTTTGTTGCTTTGCTCGACAGAAGAAGGAAGAAGGAGGGACGAGGGGTTGCTGCTCCTCTGTTACCGGAAAACCACAAGAACACCACCTCTAATGAAGGTGTTTTTGGTTGCCTATCGAAGAGAGAGAGAGAGAGAGAGAGAGAGAGAGAGAGAGAGATTTTATATATATTAAATAATAATATTTAATTTAAAGAAAAAGAGAGAAAACATCATAAATGGTCCCTGTGGTAGTGAAATGACAAAATGTCCTTTAATTAACGGACAAAACATAACGGAGTTAGCAATAAGGACCAATCGTCAAAAGTTTTGAAACCACAGGGACCATCTATGAGGTTTTTAAACCACGGGGACTAAACTTCAGATTTTGGGTAACCACAGGGACCATTTATGATGTTTTTTCTAAAAAAAAATGAAGTGTTTAAAGAACAATATTTCAAGTTTATGTGCATAAATGAATAATGATTCAAACCTATTCTTCTTCTAACCAGTTATTTTCAAGCATACTGGATAGTTTATCCTATTTTCCCGCTTTCAATTTAGCACGACATAGTGCTTCTTCTTTGCTTGAACATCCATTACTCTCCAACAAAGACTCTAAGATCAAGCAAATATATAATTTCACAATAGTACTATTTCACAATAATACTGGTTTTGATCAAATGATAAAGATGGCACTTATGTTTTTATAATAAATACAATGAATTAAATCTAAATTCTCTGCATTTAGCCAAAAATATATGAAATTTAATAAAAATAAATAAAATATTATCTAATGTTAAATAAAGAAAATTAATAAAAGATAATAATGATTTGGAAACTAAAATAATCTATTTAATAAAAAAAAAGTTTAAAAGTTTATAGATTGTGTTTTTCTTTACTGATGTGTTCTACTTAAGATTGGCTTCTGTCATAAATCCTAACACGTATGCAATTTTGATCTTTTACGGGCAGGGAAGTACCAATGTGGGAGCCCGAGATAACACGTGCTATCCCTCAAATTGGTCAAGTAGCACTAATTCTTTCATAATTTTTTTTATATATTAAATTGTTATCAAAAAGAATTAAGCTATCCTTAATTTAAAAATCCAAACACAGAAACACAGGTAGTCTAAAATCTTTATATATATCAAAAGTATAAAGCCCAATTAGTTTTAATGAAATAAAAAAACAGGCCCACAAAACTAATGTTTTGGTGGTGAATAAGTGGGTTTGATAAGCCCATTTCATGCCTCTTAATCTTATGCGGTCAGTGGGTCATACACATAAATAACGCTGACTGAGACTGAGAAATAAGACGCTCCCCATTCCTTCTTTGCCTCTTTGCCAAAAAAAAAATCCCGCCTTCTGGTGGTGAATAAGCGACCACTGACAATCACGCCTCAAAGGCAAGCTTCTGAAATTAAATTTGATCACTCCATTATCATCTGGAAAGCAAGACGACATTATCCATCTCCATCTACCTTCACGAATCCTCTCGTTGATTCCAACCGCGCCTCCTCCAGTCGAAGCTCTAAGGGGTTGACAGAAAACAAGTGGAACGAACTCCTAATATCGACAGGTTCGTATTAAGCTTTCATCTGATTCTGTTGAAATCCTACCTTTGATGAAGCTGATTCGTGAAATCGTGGTTTTTGAAATCGGCTTGACGTAAAATCGTGGTTTATTATTCTTTTATATTGAATTCGATTTCCTCATTCATCGGTTTAATCGACCCATCCATGGAACAGAGGAAGCTTGTAATATCTTTGTTAGATACCTAATTGCTTATTTTATATAGTGTTGTGAAGAATGAATTAGTTGAGTAATTAACAGAAAGATTTTTTCCATGTTAATTTTCGTAGATTACTTGTGCCTCACGGAGAAAAATCTTAGAAATCTTGGATCTTAGCTTTCCAAGAAAAATCTAGGCAGAATTACATACATGGATTTTGGAGCCAAAAAGAAAAGAATGCATAACAGACGCGATGATAGACTAAGCAGCTTGCCGGATGAACTTATCCATAAAATCTTTTCTTTTATAAGCATCAAAGACGCTGTCAGAACGTGTGTTTTGTCATCTAGTTGGAGGTCAATCTGGACTTCAATGCCCTATTTGAATTTCGAAAATCTCAAACATGGGCCAAGCATCTTCAAATTTATTTCTAATGTCCTGTCTCACCTCGATAACAAAACACACGTTTTTTCGGTCAATCTCGTTCTTGGGAAAAGTGTCAGGGACGATGAATCTGTGAGAAAAGTTCTCAACTACGCATTCTCTCACAATGTCCAACAACTCAGTGTTGGACATTGTGTTACCCGCTTGCGCGGTGGGAAAATGGTTAAACTCCCATTTTCATTTTCCTGTATTCCAACACCAACGTGGGACCCGGACCTCCCACTCCCAGCTTTAACAACATTGCATTTTCACAATGTCAAACTGTCTCGTTACATTGACATTGGTCTTTTCTCCAAGTGCACCAACTTGAAGAACCTTTTCTTAACAGGATGCATAATGGAGATAACCAAAGTGTTAAATATTTGTCATCCTCGACTTTCTAATCTTACACTCGAAAATACACCCCTGGATATGAGTTTTGATGAGGTTGTAAATGTGGTTGCACCTCAACTCAAGAATCTCACCATTAGATGGTGTGAAGGGAAGCATCTGATTTCTGCACCTGAGCTTACCTCCTTGGTCATAGAAGGTTCCCAGCCTTGGCAGGTTTCTACACCATCAGGCTTCCATTCTTTGGAGAAGGCTGAACTCTTTATGTACGATCCATTCAAAGCAGATATTCATAGAATAGTTTCTCTGCTTCAACAGCTCCGTAGTGTCAAGCTTCTTAAACTTAACTTGGGGATTCTCCAGGTATATTATATTCCTCCTTCAATGCTTACAAATAAAAATGGCATTAATCTATATCTAATTTCCTTTTGTATTATTTTCTGCAGCGTCTTTTTTCAGAAACTTGCGTGTTGTCCAATGCAAAGATATTAAAGTTTATGCCAAATATTTTGTTAGATGTATGGTTGGAGATTCAGTCTCAAGAAAAAGTATCTACAAACCATGATACTTGTCTATCAATGGTCACACGTGAGGTGAGGTATTTATTAATCCTTTTTCTAGTTTATGTAGTAACGTGGTTACATTACAAAAACCTGGAATTTTTGTGCAGGATATTACAGCTATGGGGGATATTAGATCAGCACAAGTATTTGTGGTAGACTTTACGCGGTTGCTAAGGCAGTGTAAAGTAAATACAAAAAGGGACAAAGACACTCGTATAGATGAACCACAAGTTGAAATGTTTTGGGCAGGGGAATTGCAATGGAACTTTTGGAGATTGATGGAACTGCTTCAGGATGGGAAAATTGTTAAACTAGAGACTTGTCACATGATGTCACGGATTAGGGTGAGATATAGTAATGGGGGGGAGATTAGATATCACATGTCCCATGACTGCATGGATGAAGGAAATGAGGGAATTGTTTGAGCGCGTAGAACGATTGATAACTAAGATGTCTGCATCAAAGAGGGCTGTGTTGCAACCAATTTTTCTTAGTGTTTGTCAAGATGCTGCCATTCTTACGGATAATATGTGTGAATGGATATTGAAGACCGCGAACTCGACTTGACAGACGATGAGATTATAAGTTTCGGTTAAATCAAAAGGGTCATTGAGTTAGTATATCGTTATTAAACGTTACAAATTACATTAGAAATTAGCGCAGATTGCAATCTTTTAAGCTTAAAGAAATTACTTTTTATAAACTTCAATTTCTTTAGCTGCTTGCACTCTTTAAAAAAAATCTTTTTCTTGCAGATTGTAGAGGTTTGGTCCGCCTCTTCTAAAAAACAAACAATATCTTAATATCTATTTTTCTTCTACTCTTCTGCCAAGTCAACACTTCTGGATGATTGTTTTCATGGATTAACGTTATGCCCTCACCTGCCCCTTTTGAATTATGAGATCTTATTGATGATTCCGAGAGACCTGATCAAGATTTTATTAGTCGAGGCGGGATGATTATAATGTCGTTGTCGATTTGTCTGGCTCCCAGGGCCGGTCCAAGCCCATTTGAGGCCCGGGGCGAAAAAAAAGAGGCCCTCATAATGATTTTTTTGTTAATGAAATACGGCACCTCGGAAAATTTTATTAAGTTAAAAAATTAATACATTAACACTCTTTATGCAATAATACTTACTTTTGTGACGTGTACTTCATTTCAAGGTCTACAATTAGTACAATTAATAAATAAAGTTTGCAATTGCAAAGCCTCTAAAAAAAATACATAGAGCATTTACATTTCTCATAAATTTCAGTTAAAAAAACAAATTTTAAATCATATTTGATTGAACTCTAGACTTCAAATTAACAAAAGTACTTAGTTGTACAAAGCTTAGATATAAAGCACTACTAATAACAAAAAACTAATATTAAGTTCTTTTAATTAATAGCAATAATACTAATACTAAAGGAAGGAAAAAAGCTATAGTAATTGCTGGCCTCTTAGCCAAACTATAGTCTATAAGTACAAAACAAATAGAATACATGGAGATTGTTGGGCCCAAAGCCTTAAAAGTAAAAAAATAAATAAATAAAATAAAGTGAGTTTCTGCTAAAACCATGGTTTGATGAACACCACATATAAATAACTGACGCGCTTCTTCCAAATCGACTACAAGAAGTTTTGTTTTATTTTTTCGGCATTACAGTTCTTATATCAGCTAAAAACTATAAATACATATATATTAATCATTATTTGAAGGGGCCCGAGATTTGACGAGGCCCGGGGCGGTCGCCTAGCTTGCCCACCCCCTAGGCCCGACCCTGCTGGCTCCGCTATTGGTATTGGTTATGATGCAAGTTCTCCGGATCTTGATGATACAACTCATTAGGATTTGTTTCATGATCCATTTCAACGTACGAGATCTAAAAAGAAGGATAACACCGTTTATTATAATTTTTTTTAAATACTACATAAAACTTTCAATTCTATAAAAGCCTTGAAAATTGAAAATTGTTTGGTTTAACCACTTAAAAGAATTTTTTTTTGTCCATTTAACCATCAAAAAGTTTGAATTTTTTTTCCAAAAAAAAAGCATAGTTCATTGAAAAACTAATCTTTTGTTTTGTTATTTGCAACTCACAAATGGAAACAACCGTAGATGTATTTTTTTGAAGAAAAAAAAAACGTTCAATAGGAAATCAGATTAAATCGAAAATTATAGTGATTTTTATAGAATTTTGGCTTAATTGAAATACTAAATGAGAGGCTTGACAGTTTCAAAGTGGACTTTATTGTTAGTATTTCAAAGTGGATAAATACTAAATGAGATCCTTGAGGTATTGCTCCTTGATGTTGCTTATCATGTGCATTGGCAAATAGTAATACTCTTCTACAATAAAAATATTAAAACAGTACAGATTATTTTTTCTTTTCTTTCACAAAAGAAGGTATGTGATAGAACTAATCTCGCATTAGACCAACATCACACCATAAGCCCAAGTGTAAAAATCAGTCCAAAAAAAAAAAAAAAAACAAACAGGAATCAGTCCAACCAGGCTTAAAAAAAACAAGAGAATCAGTCCAACCAGGCTTAAGACCCGGAAATACTAAGCCAAAGCACGTTGTAAAACCAGCTCAGCAGGATCCCAAAAATATCGGACATCTAGTTACTTAACCTAGACTATAAATACACTTGTAAAACACACACAACAAAGACAATTCTCAGACACCTTATTCATCTAAACTCACTTTATCATTTGTAATTGCATTATCAAGCTCATCTCTGTAATTTATGTTCAAATTAATAAGATCATACAAGGCATTTGATCATTATCATCTCCTAAGGTTTATGTCGGAGATCCTAGCAAGGATCAAAGACTTTCCTTGTGAACCTCCTATGTTATTTTGATTTCAATTCCACATTCACATTAATAACAACACCACAGCCTCTCATGCAATTTGGTTGATATCCATTTAGTCGATTTTTGACCAAAACAACTGCTACGCTGAATCTTAGAAAAATTATAACTTCCTCAAATGAAGTCAGATTTTGACGTTCTCTATATGCACGATCTCGGTTTAACGACTACTACGACTTTTGTTTAGATTACTACGGCTAAAAAGTAATTTATGAAAAAATTATTTTTTACGTTACGCGGAGTCGGGCCGGTTTAAATCGCAAAACTTAGACGGGTCATAACTTCTTCGTTATAAATCGGATTTCAGCGTTCTTTATATGTATGAAATCCTTGTGACACATGTTATAACTTTGGTTAAGATTATTTTTCCTAAATAATCTTACAAAAAATCATTTTTAACACTTTTTATCTCTAAATTGACTAGCCCGAATCTGCGGGCGTTACACATGAGTTCGATACTGGGGGTGCGGTTTAGGGGGTTCGGGGAAATGGTGAGGGGAGACTACCACTCCCTCTCTCTTCTTATGTGATTGGTCAACTTTTTTTCTAGCTTTTTAATATTTATTAAATTATATATATGCTAAAAAATTATAAAAAAATATTAAAATTCATCATTTGTTATTCTCTATGAAATAAGTATAATATATATATATATATATATATATATATATATATATATTTAAAAAAAAAAAGTTAAAAATAGTGAAAGGTAAAAAAAAAAATTTAAATAATAAAGATAATGAAAGCGGGCAATTTTAGGTTTTTTGGTGAGTAAAAAAAATTGGGGACGAAATTACATAAATGGTCCTTGTGGTTGATATAATTGACCAACATTGGTCTTTATGACAATTTTGTACGTAAATGGTCCCTATAGTTTCAATATCTTGCAAAGACAGTCCTTTTGGCTAAAGAAGTTAACATTTTCAGTTAAGTCCCTTATAAAATGACATATTTGCCCTTCCTATCATAGGGACAATTTATGTACTTTGTTCCAGCAACAGGGACCATTTATATAACTTAGCCAAATATTTATCATTATTTTTATTTAATTTATTTATATTTCTATGATTTAGATTTTTTTTGACATGTTGTTCGAATATATTCTTTAATGTTTTTTTTATATTTTTTCCCTTACATTTTTTATATTTTGTTCGTATAATTTTTTCTAATTTTTTGAGATTTTGTTCTAATACATTTATTAATATTTTTTTTTGACTTTTTGTTAGAATAATTTCTTCTATTTTTTATTTAATTTTTGTTCGAATATATTTTTTTATTGTTTTTTCTTTATATTTTTTTCTTTATTTTATTAAATATTTCATGGTCGCTATAATCATAATTCTTAATTTAATTCACTTACAATCATATTTTCATTTTTTTGTTCTTTTACTATGGATAAGGTTTTATAAGTATTATTTTATAATCCAAATATACATACATAACACATATAAATTTGTATAATTATTCTATCTGTAAAGCTTTTTATTAAAAAAAAAATTTGTAAAAAAATGTAAAATTTATGTTAAATGTGAATATGATTAATATAAATTAGGTACACATAGGCTAACCTAAGACTGTCTCGTAGTCTTGATGAGAACGACCATGTCATTTCATGTTGGACTTAGCTTTAGTATTTTCGAGTTATTTAATTCTTTTAGACATTTTTTTTTGTTTTCGAAATATACACATTTTGATTAATCTATGTATAACTTTGATAGTGATTTCGGATTCCTATTAGTCTATGTGTTCCGATTAGCCTATCTACATTAATCATATTCACATTTAACAAACTTATATATATATATATATATATATATATATATATATATATATATATATATATTAAAATGTATATAAAAAAACTTTACAAAAATAATAATTATACAATGTTATAACCAACTGGTCTAGATCAGTTGGCCACCAGGGTTACCTGGGTGGTTTTCCTTTGGGAGGTCTCGGGTTCGAGACTTCTTGGAGGCTTTTCCATAGGTGAAGCGAGAAAGGGGTAATGGGGTAACTACCCATGGGTGAAGGTTCGGGAAAGACATATTGCCCGTTTGGATGTCACTGCATGACTCGAACCACTAACATAATATAACTTTGTCGTTCGAATATATATATATATATATATATATATATATATATATATATATATATATATATATATATATAGGATTAAGTTCTATGGAAAATAAATATTTAGGGCATCAAGTTAAGAACTAATGATCAATTGACACCTATAAATTGTAGAAGTTATTGAAATTACCAAACTCGTTTTTATGAGTGGGTTAAATTTACGAATATAGTCCATGTGGTTTTCTTAAAATTATATGTTTAGTCCAGCTGTATTTGTTTAGATCTGGCAACCAACCCCTCATCTTCCCTTCCGTTTATTTTCCCTTTCCACTTCATCATCCTCGTCCATGAGGAAGAAAACCCAGAAAAAAATCTATATGATTAACAAAATTTATAAAATCAAAATACACTGAGGGAAACCACCTTTTACCAGATACAACATGCAAATGTAAATCTAAAAATCATTTCATCTTCACTGTGAATCTCCG